GCAAAAATGTCTCCCGGGAATTTATCAAGAAGTCAGATGGTTGAGTTCTAGATAGGCATGTGTACAGTTCTGCTGGATAAATGCCAGCCTGCTTCCTGAAGTGTTTATTCTTTCCTGTTCTTTTTTTCCCTCCAATAGTGGATGACATTTCCCCACTTCTTTTATTGGACAACATTTAAGATTTCTGACATTTTAAATTTCACTTGTATGGCAGATATGAAATATTATTTCAAGGTGGTTGTAATGATAATTTTATTAATTAATAAGTGAGGTCAAGCATATTTGACACATTTAGGAGTCATTCAAGTTTTGTCTACTAAAAAATGTTCGCTCAAATTATTTGCCCATTTTTCTTTTCTTTTTTTTTTTTTTAATATTTTTCTAATTGAGTCCCAGGCGCTCTCTCTCTACTTTCATTTTAGCTTTTTTTCTGTCATTTTAAGTGTTCCAAATATATTCTTCCTGTTTATAACTTGATTTTTCATACTCTGTTTTTATATATTTTGTTTGATGAACAAATTCTCAGATTTTACATAGGCAGATTTATCCATCTTGCCTTCATGTTCTGTTCTTTGGGGTCTCATTTTAAAAAATTATTCTTTAGAAGTAATTATGACTCTCTCTGCTTACTTTTAAAAATGTCATGGTTTGAACTTTGACATTTGAAGTGGTTATGATTCATTCTTTTTAGGCTATAAAAGGATCAGATTTAACTTTTTTCTCATATGGATAAGCAGTTGTATCAGAGTCTTGTATCTTTCCCCAATGATCTGAATGTTTGCTTGATCAGAGATATGTTTGTATACTTTTTTCTGTTCTCTGTTCTGTTCTTTTCATCTAATTGTCTTTTTCCACAGCAACCACTATTTAAAACAGCAGTGACCAACAGAAATATAATATGACTCACACATGAAAACCACATATATCATTTGAATTTTTTAATGACCACGATAAAAAAGGAAAAGAAAAAGCAATGAAATACATGTTATTATGTTTTAATTCAATTTATGAAAATATTTAACATGGGGGCCGGGTGCGGTGGCTCACGCCTGTAATCCCAGCACTTTGGGAGGCCGAGGCGGGTGGATCACGAGGTCAAGAGATCGAGACCATCCTGGTCAACATGGTGAAACCCCATCTCTACTAAAAATACAAAAACTTAGCTGGGCATGGTGGCATGTGCCTGTAATCCCAGCTACTCAGGAGGCTGAGGCAGGAGAATTGCCTGAACCCAGGAGGCGGAGGTTGCGGTGAGCCGAGATCGCGCCATTGCACTCCAGCCTGGGTAACAAGAGCGAAACTCCGTCTCAAAAAAAAAAAAAAAAATTTAACATGTAATGAATGTAAAAATTTTAAGATATTTGTATTTATTATATCACATCTTTAAATATTTTGTACTTTATATCCTTTAATATTTATAGCATATCTTAATTTCAACATGATCACACTTTAAGTGCCCAATAGCTACATGTGACTAGTACTACGGTATGATTATTATATGACTTTGTAATTAGCCTTGACAAGTGGTAGGTTTTGACACTCCACCCTGCTAAATTTTCATCAGACGTGTGTTGATTTTGCAAGGCCTTTGCATTTTCATATTCATATACATTTAGAATCCATTTATAAAGTTGTATTTTAAAAATTGAAATTCCATTTGAAATTACATCTATCCAACATTGAAACTTTCTTATTAGCATTAAATTTTTTTCAATATTTTATTTTGGCTGTATTGGTTTTTAAATGTTAACAGTCATTTCACAGTGCTATTTAAGTGACATTGTCCTGAGTCTTTTACAAATATATTAACTTGCTCATTTCTCCTAACAACTTTGTGCGACTGGCACCATTATGATCTTCCTGTGAAGAAACAGCCAGGAATACATTTGATTCGGAACCAGGGTCTCTGTCTCACATATTTGTATTTAAATATATAGATTTGTACTTAAATGAGTATATAGATTAGCTATGTATGTCTATACCTATATATAGATAGCCATTTTGTTTTATTCTTTGCAGAAGTTGTAACTGTTATTTTTGTATCCTGTCTTTTTGCATTATTTAAAACATTCAAGAAATGTTCTAAAGACAGTTCTTCAATTTTAAAGGTTTAACAAAAGGCTGAGTGTGGTATTTCATGCCTATAATCCGAGCATTTTGGGAGGCTTGAAGCCAAGGGTTTGAAACTAGCCTGGGCAACATCATGAGACTTGGTCTCTATATTTTTAAAAAAAAAAAACCTAAAAAAAAAAACTACAGTGTGTATCAGTCAACTATCTTTTCAGCAATGCTGTGTAACAGACTACTCTGTAACTCAGTAACCTCAACAACAAGCACTCATTTTCAGGCTCATGATGTCCTGGTCAGTTGTGCTTTAGGCTAGGCTTGGGTGGGCTGGTCTACCTCACTGTGAAAGGACTTCAAGCCTGCTCCACATGCCTTTTCTTCTTATGTGATTGCTACCTTGAACTTGTTCTCATGGTAATGACAAAAGTGTAAGAATAGAGTAGTCACACCTTGTAAGCACATTTTATGACTGCTTGAATCATGGCCACAAATAATCTATTGGCCAAAGTAAATCACACAGCTCAACCTCAATGAAATAGGGAAATATATTTGGACTTCTAGTGGTGACGGTAAAATCACCTGGAAAAAGGTGTGCATGTAAGCTATATAAAACTATAATTAGAAGAGCTGAAGAATTTGAACAATAATGAGATCTGCCGTGCATTTTAGCCTTCCTGAAGTGAAATATATTTTTTGCTCAATAGCTAAATTTATCGTCATGGATCTCATTCCCTGTCTTTTCCTTTTTACGGTTAATAGTTTAGAGTTAATAGTTTGTGGCCTTACAATTAAGTGTTTAAGAATTGAGGAGACATGGTAATTAATAGATATTACATTATCATTTTTTTGCAGTGTTTCACTATAGCAAGATATTGGCTATAGAAGTGAATTCTTTTTTAAAAATTATGTTAAAGAGTATTCATATTTATAGTTTACTCATAATTTAGTAACATGCAAATTTTGTCTTCTGAAGTTATTGTGGTAATAATATTTCCTAAAATTTTTCCTTACCATCATGAAATATATTAATATTTAATGTTACTGAAATTAAACCACTGTTAGAATCTGAGCATAAATTCTATTTAGTGATTGTGAATTATTCTTTACATCCTTTGGATTCTATTTGCTAATTTTTTATTTAAGATTTCCTATCTATGTTAGCAATTTCATTTTGTTTTCTTCTTTAAGTTTTGTGATTAGTTTTGTGCTACCTTTACCAGGAGCACTGGGTAGCTCCCTTTTTCAGTGCTTTAGGAGAACTATTTTGTTTTATTTTATTTTTGTATTACACATAATAGAAAAACTAACTCATATTGCTAAAATAAATAAATGTGTTTATGTATTAATATACCAGGATGGTAAAGAGGTGGGGTGAGTTTGGGGTTTTGAGATTGCTTTAAATCAATGATCATATGACATCAATGACTTGGTTTCTTTTTGCATCTCAGTTCTGACTTCCGGGGTGACAAACTTTTTAGGCTGGCTCCCTGAGTGGAAGCAAAATGGCTGTAGCAATTTCAGGCATCCTGTTTTGTAGTACATTGTTTATTAAGAGAAAGATGGGCTGGCTTCTTATAAGCTCTTATAAAATAGAGGTATCTTCTTTTGAGAGGTACACCCATGTATATCCTAACATATATAGTCCTAGAATACGTGTCTAGTCACATACTTTTCATGTTTATTAAGTTATTTAGGTTTTATATGTTTCATTAAATTTATTTTATAATTTACACCTATTCCAAAGATAACATTTATTTCATCCTGATTTTAAAAGTTTGCCGGCCGGGCGCGGTGGCTCAAGTCTGTAATCCCAGCACTTTGGGAGGCCGAGGCGGGTGGATCACGAGGTCGGCAGATCGAGACCATCCTGGTCAACATGGTGAAACCCCGTCTCTACTAAAAATTACAAAAAATTAGCTGGTCACGGTGGTGCGTGCCTGTAATCCCAGCCACTCAGGAGGCTGAGGCAGGAGAATTGCCTGAACCCAGGGGGCGGAGGTTGTGGTGAGGCGAGATCGCGCCATTGCACTCCAGCCTGGGTAACAAGAGTGAAACTCCGTCTCAAAAAAAAAAAAGTTTGGCAACATTCTCCTATTTTAATTTCCTATGTGCTCCTATATCTGCTACCATAGCCTTGATTTTCTTTGTCAATATGAATAATATTGAGAACTTAATTTGTTTTAAGTACTTTGAAAGAAATTTTATGTATATTAAGTTATCTCTAACTTCTTTTCCTAATTAGCTTTGTAGGACTTTTTAAATTTTGGAGTATTGTCTATTTTTTTTTTAGAAGAACTAGTTCTTAGATTTACTTGCTATATCTGCTGGTTTACATATTTTTTCAGTAATTAACTTGACATATTAAAATAAATAGTTTTTACTGCATTTTATTATTTTTTTCTTTTTTTCTTGCGGTTGATTTTATATTCTTTTTCTAAATTCTTAAGGGTAAAAATTATTATTTAATGACAAAGTACTTAAAATTTTATTTATGCATGTTTATATTTGTTGTGTGGACATATTTAAAGAGTTTACTATTTTATTATGCTTTTACTGTTCAATTCAACAGGTTCTTAGAAGAGCAGCTTTCAACTTTAGGATCATGTGAAGTTGTTTTTGCAATTTTTACCGTTACTCAATCTTGATTAAATAATGCAGTCTATGCAATCTCTAATTTGGGTGACTTATTGCAGTTTTGTGTCCCAGCAAAAGAAAACCTTTAAACTATTCTTTTGGGACTTTAAAAAAATTTCGTTTGTAGAAGAAACATTAAATATGCTGTCTGTCTATTCATACACTTTTGTTGACTGTATTAATCTAATCATCACGACTTCTATACATTTTTGACTACTTTTTTCATTATATTATGAGAGTAGGGAATCAAAGCAACTCTGAGTATATTTATCTCAATTTTAAAATTCATTTTATTTTGACAAGTAGACTGGGCATGGTGGAGCACTTGGGGAGGCCGAGGTGAGAGGATTGCTTGAGGCCAGGAGTTGAGATTATGGGAAACATAGCAACAGCCTGTCTCTACAAAAAAAAAAAAAAAAGAAAAGAAAGATTTCATGTGTAATATGTGAGCACACACTCAATCAGCCCTAAGTCAAGACTTTCAACCTTAATAACTCAGCTCTATGCTCCTATTCAGCCACTAACTCTTACAGGTAATTGCTGTCCTTAATTCTAAGAGCATAGATACATTTTGTGTGTGTGTGTTTTGTTTTGTTTTTTTTTTTTGTGTGATGCCTCATGTCTGGCGTCCTTCATTCAACATTAGATTTGGTCATGTGTTTTGTGTGATTCATTTTATAAAACAATTGGCCTGAACTAAAAAAAAAATTCAGTATCATGCAAGACTAGAAAAGCATACAAACAAAAGAACTGAAGGGCTAGTCTGCAGGAAAAGAGAAGTGGCCGGGTGCGGTGGCTCAGGCCTGTAATCCCAGCACTTAGAGGCCGAGGTGGGCAGATCACCTGAGGTCAGGAGTTCGAGACCAGCCAGACTGACATGTTCAAACCTCATCTCTACTAATAACAAAAAAAAAATTAGTCAGGCATGGTGGTACACACCTGTTGTCCCAGCTACTCAGGAGGCTGAGGCAGGAGAGTCACTTGAACCTGAGAGGTGGAGTTTGCATTGAGTGGAGAGTGAGCCACTGGACTCCAGCCTGGGCGACAATAGCAAGACTCTGTCTCAAAAAGAAAAAAAGTAAAATAAAGGTGAAGCTTTGATAATCAAATATCTGATTTAATTACAAAACATTGGATATCAACTGTATATTAGTTAATATTATCTTGTTAATGTTAAAACATTTTTATTTTGAAATGGTGTAGTTATGAAGAAGACTATTCTTGATCTTAGATGATATCGTGCATTGAGGTGTCAAATGTTTTAGGGTCTGTAAGCTATTTTAAAATAGTTTGGTAAAAGTAATATACATATACATATACTGGTGTGTGTAAAAAGAGAGCAGGCAAGTGTGGCAAAATGTTAAAAATTGGGGAAGAATAGGTTAGTGTCCGTTGTATTGTTCTTTTAGCTTTTCTCTGTGGGCGGGGGTGGGGGTTGAAATATTTTAAAATTAAAAAGGGGAAGAATAAGCATACATTGTTATTTAATCATAAAATTTAATAACCGAGCAGATTTTCTATTGTGATTTTATTTAGCATATGTGAAAACAGAGGCTCAGTGGAATTCGCTACATTGCCTAGAGCGTGGCCCTGATGACTCTGTGATCTTCTGACCGTCTTCTGTGCGCCTTCTATGAAGGTCACAAGAACACTGTTGACTGACAGTTGAGAAAGGTAAAAGCTGTAAGACATCCTAGAATTTTAGAGTAGATAGAAACTACAGTGATCAGCTAATCAGATTCTTTAATCTTAGAAATGTCAAGAAGGTCAAGTACGCAGTCCAAGCTCACAGAATGAATTAGGAATGTCAGAGCCTGCATTGCAGTCCTGGTTTTCTAATTTTTAAATCCTTATTATTTGTACTACACCACGAACAAGCTGAACATTTCAAGCACATAGAATTCTGGGCCATGGAACATTAGGACAACAAAGTTAAAAAACAAAAACCGAAACGAAAGTCTCAAACTCCTCAGCTTGCTTTTCAGGTTTAAGCTTGACTTCTGACCACATGTCAATCAGGCATTGTTTTCAGGTTGAGTTGGGAACATTTTGTGTAACTCCTCTGAATGCGTAATATCCTTGCTCTCTTTCTCAGCCAGGTTGGGAGTATATCTTGGCATGTAGCAGAATTTCTGAATGTTTATTTCCACATCTTACATCAACAGTTTGCTGAATCATTTACTTTTTCCCTTTGACAGAGTTTCAATGCTGTCAGTAGAATATGCATCAGGGCAGTAGGGAATTATCATGGTGTCAAGCATTATGGGTAATTCCATGTAAATGGTTCTGCAGAGAGCCATGCTGATTTGCATGGCAGCAGTAACAACTCTAAATGGAAGGCTTACTCATGTCTGGTTTTGTTAATTTCAGTTTAGTGGCTATTAGCAGGTTTCCTGAAAATAGGAATGTTGCACCCTAGACAGTCCTCTCGAACTTGAGAGTACTTTCCAGTCTCATTTATCCTCTTCTCATAGAAAAGGTTTTGTTTTCAATCTCTTTGTTTCTATTATCCATGTCTTTCTGTTTACTTTTCCTGGTTCCCTGCCTAACTGAGAGGAAAGGGATGTGTCTCATGTTCCCTTCCCACACTCAAGACTCTTTGCCCTGAGTTTGGGTTATACTTCTTTCTTTTCTCTAAGTTACTGAGTATACTTCACCAATAGTATACTCTGCCCCACTGTAAATCACTTTTTTCCCATAGAATCCTGTATGGTCTTATAGGAAGAGCTCTGGACTGAAAGTCAGGGGCCCACAATCTCATTTTTTGCCGTTAGTCAGTCCTATAACCTTGATCATGCTATTTTCATCACTAAATAAGTAATGTTGAGAAAATGGAATGACTCTGCTTTCACATGTTTTTGATAGGTGGTGAGTAATTAAGTTATAAGTGTTCATTCTTAAATTATACATGAAAATACATTCTAAAAGATATATTTTAAAATCAACCCTTAATTTTCCAGGAAAAGTTGAATTAATTTTTTTCTTAGCTTTTTAAAGTGTCATGACATTTCCTTATTCTGCTATGACTTAATGTGTTTGAACACGTTGTTTTCTTCTCCTCTTATGTGAGCTTCTCTAGCTCAGATAAAAGGCTAACACTTTAAAACCCATTTTAAAAATATACAAATGGAAGTTCAGCAAATTAATTGATTTATGTAACATTAAAAGGTTAGTATTTGCTTGAGCTAATAGAATTAATAGTTTAAAAATCTTAATTTTCATCTGTCTTTTTTTTTTACTACGTATGTAGTAAAACAAATCCAAGATAATTTGTAAAGTAGAAATGTTTAAAACATGAAGACAAAAAAATAACCTGTGTCCCTGTCCCTTATTTGTTAATGATCTAAATGAATGTTGATTACTTACTGTATGCTAGCTGTTGTTTTAAAGGCCAAGAATACATCAATGAACAAAACAGATAGAAATCCTTGTTCTTATGCAAGTTAGAAAATGGGATCGTCATTCTCAGCAAACTGACACAAGAACAGAAAACCAAACACCACATGTTCTCTCTCATAAGTGGGTATTGAACAATGAGAACACATGGAGACAGTAGGGGGAACAGGCCAGGGAGGGCCTGTTGGGGAGTGGGGAGCTAGGAGAAGGATAGCAGTGGGTGGAGGGATAGAGGAGGGATAGCATTAGGAGAAATACCTAATGTAGATGATGGGTTGTTGGATGCAGCAAACCACCAGGGCATGTGCATAACTACATAACAATTCTTCACATTCTGCACATGTACCCCAGAATTTAAAGTATAATAATTAAAAAAAAAAAAAGAAAATATGTAAAATTTCTGGCTGGGCACAGTGGATCATACCTGTAATCCCAGCAGTTTGGGAGGCCAAGGTGGGCAGATCACCTGAGGTCAGGAGTTTGAAACCAGCCTGGCCAACATGGTGAAACCCTGTCTCTACTAAAAATACAAAAATTAGCCAGGCGTGGTGGTGTGCACCTGTAATCCCAGCTACTCTGGAGGCTGAGATAGGAGAATTGCTTGAACCCAGATGGCAGAGGTTGCAGTGATCGGAAATCGTGCCACTGCACTACAGCCTGGGCAACAGAGAGAGACTCCATCTCAAAATAAAAAAAAGAAAATATGTAAAATTTCCAATATGAAATGCACAATAAATGCATGAATCATACAGATTACTAGAAGGTAATAAATATCAGAAGAATGAAAGGAAAAGAGTTTGGAAATTCTGGAAGTAAGGTAAGGGTGTTATTGAGAAGGTGAAATTTGGGCGATAATTTGAATATGTGAAGAGGTGAGCCATGCAGGTATCTGATGGAAGAACCTTCCAGAGGGAGGAGGAGTCAAGGTAGAAGCATGTCTGGCATTTCTAAGGAACAGCAGTGTGGCCAATGTGACTGATCGTTATAAGGAATGAATAGAGTGTTAGGAAATAAATGTTTCCTTTTTTTATTTTGAGATGGAGTCTCTCTCTGTTGCCCTGGCTGTAGTGCAGTGGCATGATTTCAAAGACTTGCTCAAGGACCAGAACCTATAGCCTTTTAGGCCATGATAAGGGGTTTAGAATTTTCCCTCAGAGAAATGAGAAGTTAGTGGGCTAATCTGCCTTACATTTTGAAGGTCTCACTTTTACTACACTTTGGGAAAACTATGATGTTGTTGGGGAGGACAGGAAGGGGAGGGCAAGAGTGGAAAGAGAAAAGTGAGGTAGGAGGCTTTTACAGTTCTCAGTGAGGGCTAATGATGCCTTCTTATGCAGGGTGCTGGTATTGAAAGTGGTGAGGATGAAATTCTGATTTGAAGGCAGAGCCAATAGGACTTTATAATAAATTGGATGCAGTGGGTGGGAGAAAAAACAAGAATCATGGAGAGCTTCCAGGTTTTTGGCCTGAGCCATTGGAAGAATGGAGTTTCCCATCAACAGAGATGGGGAAAACTGAGTTTAATAGGTTTGGAGCAGGTGGGGGCAATATAAACAATTGGTTCTGCAAATGTTTAGTTTAAGATTTCCCTCAGATATCCAAGTAGTAATGTCAAGTTCGTAATCAGATAATGAGCCAAGAGTTCACTGGAAAGCTCTGGGCTGTAGAAATAAATTTGACTTACTTATTCCTGGGCCCTTTGTCATGAAGAATTGAAATGGAGAGACTAAGAGAAGACAAGGTAGAAGGAAATACATCAGGTCGAAGGAAAACCAGGAGATTTGAAAACAAGGCCATTGATGACTTTGGCATGAGTGTGAGATAATAAAAGAAGAATTTGAAATTTGATGCAAAGGGAAATGGAGAAATGGCCAATGTTGGAAGGAAGAGTGATATTAAGAGACCCTTTTTTGACAGATGGAGAAACGATACCATGTTTGAATGCTGTTGGGAATGGTCTAGCAGAGAGGCAAAACTTACAGTCTGGAAGAGAGGCAAGAATTGCTGGATGGCCTCCAGAATGAGGATGAGGAAATAGGATTTGACGCATCTGTGAAAGCATTGACTTTATAGAGTGCCTTTGATGCATACGTGAAAGCATTGACTTTATAGAGTGCCATGGCTGGTTTACTTATAGTAACAGGAGAGAGGTGGAGTATATGGAAATAGATTCTGGAAGATGGTTAGAGGAGGTTGTGGGAGTCTTTGGAAGATCTTTTTTGATGGCTTCAATTTTACCACTGAAACTGGAAGTATGATCATTGACTGAGAATGAAGGTGGGGAAGAATTGTTGAAGGTTACAGGAGAAAGAAAGAGGTAAATAATTGTTCAACAAGAGACTAGGAGAATAAATGAGCAAAAGAAACATACTGTGATGACTTGGTAGCACTGAGTCCACTAGAAATTTTCCATCATGAATTTGAAGTGAGCCCAGTCAGCAGAGTAATGTATTTTTCCCTACCTACATTCAGTTACTTGGAAGAATGTAGGCGGTAAGAAAACAGGAGCTGAGAATATATGCAAATATGTGATTAGATGAGCTGATCAGATCAGTCCAAATTCTGGGTAAGAAAAAATAGTTACTTTCATAATGGATACTTTATTTCATTTCCTTCTATCTTTTTAATGAACAAGGTAAATTTGTAGTTTTTTTTTTTAACATAAAAACAATTATTCTGAGTATCCCCTTTTAATTCTTTTCTTTTAGGAAAAGGCTTTTTTTTTCTTAACAATATAATGCTTATGTGTGGTGTCATATACAATTAATGATCGCATTAATTTTTTTTTACTATTATCAAGCTACCTAATTATATTGTCCTTTAAAATTACATGTCAGTTCATGGTTACAACACCCATTCTTACCAATAACTCACTCACCTATCAATTTAACCATGAAAATGACCCATGTCATATGTCTGATAAGCATAAAGTCATAGGACTCCAAAAATGAGATAAGCTTTAAAAGTATCATTCAACATTCTTTTATGGACATCTAAAAATACTCTAATTCTTAACAAGTTAGAGAATTTATATCTAGTTATTTTGGTGGGGAGGGGCATGTAGTTTTGTGAAAGAGACCAGCATTTTTTCTAAAATACTCTCTTCATTCATTCTTCATTAGTAATGGAAGCTTTTCCCTTGTTTTTAGCTTGACACACAGCCACCTGAAATAAAGACTAAGTTTGCCGGATTCCTTATTACTAAGTATGGCCATGTGACCATCTTTGGCCAATCAGGTGAAAGTGAAAGTGGTGTTTCAGTCATCAGTCGTCTGGGACCATAACTTTGACAATGGAAACTATATAAATTTATAAGGTAGAAGGAACCTGGGTCCCTGACACTATGAGGGTCATACTTCTGGTTGAAATGACTCCAAAAGAAAAATAACTTATTTTATAAGCTAGTGTTATTGTGAGTTTTCTGGGTCTCAGATATGAATTGCAGCCATCTCATAACACCAAAGTCCAACATACCTTTTTTTCCCCATGCCAAGCATTCTATTTCTTGTTCCACATGAGACTCTCTGAAAATAAGAGCAAAATAAAAAGGCATTACTTTAAAAAGGACAAAGAAAAAAAAAACCCTGAATTTAAAAACTACAGGGCAAGATGTCTGTAAAGTACATATTTGTGATCCTCCAGTAACTATCCTTGAATCACAGACTGGCAGGCGTACAGCATCAACACACTGTCTAGAGGCTTCTTTCTTGAGCCCCCTCATCTCCTAGACCTATAGATTCTGAATATAGGTGTAAGTTTTTATAGCCTACAGCTAGTCTTACCCATGCTACTCTCTGCCAAGGACAAATTCCAAGTAGGTTTGATTTGGGGATTTCATTGACTTCACAGTTCATTGGCAGAGCAGTGATTCTTGAAAACTCTGTAGTTAGTAAATCCCGTAGCACTTCTTGGTTCAAATCCTCAAATTGACTTGCCTCTGAGAAGGAAATTCTGATATTACTCACTCAAGTGTCTTTAGGACTCCCTTTCCTAGGTTTCCTATATTCCCCAACATACAACTTAATTAAGCAGCTCTCAAATTTTAATCAGGATAAAATCCTGATAAAAATGCATCTCGTCAGTCCACAGCCTCAGAGTTCTTAATTTGGTGGCTCTCGTGGTGAGTCCCAGGGTTATTCATTTTTAACCAGTGCTATTCCATGACTCTGATGTGGGCCCTGCAGGGGTCACATTTTGAGAAATTGCATAGAGGCCTCCATGGGTCTTGACTCAGACAATCTAACTAGTATGATTTTCTAGCACTTCTAAGGCTCATGCTGAAAGGAAAGAACACTTCTCTATCAAAGAGATAATTCAAAGAGTATTCGATTCTGGCTAAAACTTTTCTTACTGTAGAAACACACGAAAAATGGCAGGCTTCCCTCACTGTGTGAATCTGGAATTGTACAGATCTTATTAATTCCAGCACTGCTACTTACTGTCTAAGTGACTTAGATGAGTTATGTGATCTAGACAGTCCTCCTCTACAATGCTGTTGTCAGGAGTGGAGCACCTAGCCTGGCTCCTAGAGCACTGATGATGATCAGTAAACGACCGTGTTTCTGTTTTCCCACTCCTCTTTCTTCTCATTTTCTTAGTTACATAAAACCTCGTGACCCCCTCCGTAGATTGTTAATAACTTCCAACTATTGATCTCTCTGAGTTTGGATATCTTACTAAACCTGACACTGAGTAGTTTAACTCTTTAACACTGAGGTCAGTTGACTTCCAGAATGTCTGACGAAGTATTTTCTTCCTTGGTCCACTGCTTGGTATCAGTGCTGGTTGTTCAATCTAAGACACTGTCTGTTGAGCTATAGACCCACATGTGGGTGACGTACTTCCATGCACATAAAGCACAATTGAGATGGGGATACTTCAAAAGTCTTAGGAGTTTTTGTTTGCTTTTCTCTGGCCCAACTGGACTCTACTGGATGCTCAGACGTCTTCCATTGTCTAAGATCATTTAACAAATGGATGATCTTCACTATCTTCATCTATTCTTTCCCCAATACGATAAAAAGGAAACCTCTGCCAAAAAAGTAACTCTGGCAACTATGCTTATACCCCCAGTGCACTCTTAATTTAAAAGTTACTTCATGGTCAAAAGATTGGCAGGCAATATATGGAGGTAAACCAGATTTCCTCCTGTTCTCTTTCAACTCAAGCATCATAGGGAGCTTTGCAGCTGTGACACGACTTCCACTTAGTGACAAAGGGGACAAAATCAATGTCCATTTCTGTGGTTCTTCCAGAGAGGCACAGGGATCTCAGCCTCCTAATGTTATTATTGTTGGGATCCAAAGATAAAAGCTAGGCTTTAAATTTCGAGGCCAGAATAGAAAGACTGTTTTTCTATTTCTACTGGAGGTTTTTATACTTCCTGATTTAGCGATTCTAGAAATACGTTGTCCAAGAATCAATATTGACACCCCGAGATGTGGTTTAGCTGCTTTATATTTCATGGTTATGTAGATTCCTACCTCAGGTTGTAGATTCAAACATTTGTTGAGGTAAGGCCTGCCTAAAACTACTGTACTACCCATCTATTCTCCTTCTTTAAAAATGTTCCAACTTTTGTTTCTGGAATGCTATTCTGAGACTCATTTCCAGGGAATTAAGTTAATCAAAATTATTGTGTTTGAAGTTTTCTCTTTGCAATTTCATGAAGAAATTAAATCTCCCAAAAGTGTGTGTATATACACACACTCTAGCTTGTGTAAAGCAGTGGTTCTAAGCAGGGAGAAATTTTGCTCTGTTTTCCCCCTGACAGAGACATTTGACAATATCTAGAGACATTTTGTGTTTTCTCAACTAGGCGGGGAAACAATGGGCATTAAATGAGGAGAGGTCATTGCCAAATTTCTTGCAATGCACAGAACAGTCCCCATAACAAAGAATTTGATGATCCAAATGTCAATAGTGCTGATGAAGAGAATCCTTGTTGTAGAGCCTAACAAATGCATTTTATCCGTGGGAGTACATATTTATTTTATTTCTATGAAAGACTGGTTCACCCATCAACCAGTTGGGATGTTGCTGAGCAGCCTTCTTCCACTGTCCTTCCATAACCTCCTCAACTGCAAAGCAAAACGAGTTATGTCAGCACAAATATCTTAGGGAATCCTGATTCACAATTAAGGAATAGTTGGCCCTGGCTTGCCAGGTGCCCTCCACATCATTCAATTGTCTCAGGCTCCCTCCACATCTATTCAGTAGTCTCAGCATAAATTATAGTCCATATACTGTGCCTTTTAATACCTGCTCCTTTCCCCTCTCTCTGCTACCCAGGGTACAGGATGCTGACTTTTCCCTAAATCCTATAATACCACAAAGTCCCTGCTCTCTGTATTATTCTCAAGGCCTAGCAGGACTTTTTGTGCTCAGGCAAATAAACACACCACCAATAATCCAATAAAACCTTCGCAGACATCGGATATAAACCACAGCGACGAGCAGTGCACAATCTATAACTGCTTAGTTCTTTTTTATCAACCCTGCACTTGAGCCCTGAAGGCAACACAAATCAAAGCTAATAAAAGCACCAAGGCCTGCTCCTCATGTTCCTAATGGGTTGATTCACCCTACCTATGCTACTCCCCTAGTGACCACAGGCTGTCTCCACTCCTAGATGGAAGAGATACAAGCCAGCATATCCGGTATGAGGAAGGAGGAGTTCATTTCAAATATGTCTTTCACCATGATGGCGTTCCACTTGGTGCTCAGTAGCTGCAGAGAAATAAGCACCATCACCGAGGGCTGGAACTTGCCAATGTCTCATATTCCCAGAGACCGAATACAATACAACACAACACTCAGTCCTGGAGCTCATTTTTTTTTAACTGTGTTTTCCAACTCTCAACTGTGTGAAGGAGCTACAATTAGTCTATGCCATAAATGAAAGCAAATTAGAGTAGAAGAATGTGAGTTGTATGATAAAAAGCTTGCCCCTAAGCAGAGGTAAGAGGAAACCACAGTTAAAATGTTGTTTCTTGACAGGAAAAACTCCGTATTTGGTAGAATGGCTGCAGGGCTTCGCTGATAATCAAATTGCCAAGATTTTATTCTGAGCCACAAACTCAGATGTCTCTATGGGCCACACATTAGTGAAAAGGGGGAGATAAAGGAAAGAGTGAGAGGACGAGTCTTTGGTCATCTTGATACATATTCCTTGTTTACAATCTCCACTTCTCCCCCAGAGCTCTGCCAAGTTGTTAGCAAGTCAAGTAATGTGTTTTTCAGATCTTCCAGTTTTTTTTTCAAAGCTATATAATAGAGACTTATTTTGACTATAGAAGCTTCCAGTTTTTACATATGAGTAAGTAATTGCATTTAGACAAAAAAAAAAAAAAATGCATGGGCCAAAACAAACAAGCTAAAATATATATGTGAGCTGGATCTATTAATAGTTGCCAGCTGCCAGGCTGGCACCACTCTTTACCCATGGCCTTGTATTCAATGTCTCCTTCTTGAAAATAAAGTTAATAGTGTCCATTAGTACCAGGACCCTAATCAAGGCTTTACAGAGCCTTGTTTTGAAAGGCTTACCATGAAGGGGACTGGGAGGTTCTAATTACACATCACTCTGGTTTATTCCTTAAAGGGAGTCTCTAGCAGGCCTCCCTGTAGTCAGTCTTTGGTAGTGCATTTCTAAATATATAAATAATCAATACATTATTATATTTTTTAACTTTCATTTTTAGAATCCACAGACATTCGTGGAAGGTGGCAGACCGCAGGTGTCAGAGTAACGTGTTGGCATCCCCTTTTGTTTCAAGTCTTCTCCTATAGGTGTCACTGACGCCCTCCTTTGGGAGGCTTGTGGTCATCGACCTTCCAGTCCCCTTCATGGTAAGCCTTTTCTGATGATGAGCCCTGCCTAGTCAGCCAGCCATGGAGAAACAAAGATTACACACAGCCTTCCCTGACTAAAGATGCCAGTGAGCATCAAAATCAAATGGGAGCTTCACATAGCCCCAGGCACCGAGAGATTGTCACTCTGGAATCTCTCACTCAGTAAGGTTTTGCTCTTTTATAATGTAACATCTTCTCAACAGCTCCTACTTTTCAGAGCAGCCTTGCAGAGAGGCAATTGGAAGTCTGTTTCTATAGTCAAGAACCCACACTCACAGCCTTCCAGAACAGGTGATGCATCTCTTCATAAGAGAGGTAAGGGGAGAGCTTACTGTATCCATTGGCATAATCATTCCAGATACATCTGATGGTACAATTCTGGGGCTGATCCCAATCTCTGAAAATGCATTCTTCCCTGGGAGACATTAGCAAGGAGGGACAGCTGGCAGGGAATGCAAACAGACCTTCCTTTTATTTCTCTTTGAATTGTGAATGTCTATTAACAACTTGCCTTCCCATTGTTCCCCAACAATGGAAGCACAGCTGAGTACACAATGGGAAAATAGAAACCAGACTAGCCAATTGATTCCAGCTTCTGTTTAACTACCAATACATGCAATAATGTCCTCACTAGTAAGTATTTGGTGGAAAATATGTAAACATATAAATAAAC